AACTCATTTGCACATCAGTAATTTGCCATATGCCCATTTGGGAACTTATAATTTGCTTGGCCATCTTGCCTGTGGAATAAATGCAGTATTTAATTTTGTACCCTCTATTAAACAAATTGGCCTCATTAGTAACATCTACATGCTTTACTGTGATGAATGGGGTATCTGTTAAAACAAGACTTGTAAATAAAGCCCATCTGCCAGTCTTTTCTCATTACAAAGGTATAGCTTTAGCTGAAAACATTAATGCTGTTAGTTTCTAATGTATTTGTTGAAACACTCCGTTGCTTCTAAGCAAGACAAAACAGGTCTCGGAAACCTTTCTTATTTTTAAAGATATTCAATTAAAATAAACATTTCAATTAAATTTTAAATTAGTTTAAACTGAAGTACTTACATTGCAGGGTCAGGAGAACTATGGGTTAATACAAAACATTTATGTTCAACTTTTATTTTCTTTGGATTTTTCATCTTTGATTTACTTAAGATACCTAATTAAGTCTCACAAACTTGTTAAGCTTTTGTAATTTACATATGAAACCTATTTTTAGATTCTGCTTACTGTACAGTATATGCATTCCCATTAAATAAGAAATGTCAAGAACTTCTTAGAGCTTCTGCTCTGACCTGTTTACATTTCAGCATGTACTGCTTAATATTTTCTATAGACAGAAACTGGATTGAAAATTAATGAACTGGATTAAGGAGTTTAAATGACAATTCTCATGGCACTGCATTCTTCTGCTCTGCTAATCATGGAAAAAAGGCATCATGGTGAAAACCTTCATAGATCAGAGTTTAATGTGAGCATATATTAATGCAGTGATATCTGTCTTGACTTGCCTTGAAGGGCAAACTCCTCTCTTGTTTTTAATCTAACCCTGTGAGATCACCAGAATTTTATTGCAGGAATCTGTCTTCAACTTACCCTGATATTTACACGGTCCTGAAAGTCATATTCAGTAAAATAAAAATAATATCTAGTACTTTGTGTACATTAATAAAAAAAAAGAGAACTATTGATTTATACTATAACTTGTTTATTGCACTGGTAGTTTTAGGTTGTATTAAAATATAGCCTAGTCTTAACTCCAACCTTATCTGTGGCAACCATGGTGACGAAGCAGATACAGTAATAGTAGCAGGCATTTTAGGTCCAACTCCTCTTCCTCAGGCAAGTCATAAATAACACAAATAGCAAAGACATCTGACAGTGCCCACATCT